TACACGAACCACGTAACTAACTTTAACCTCCTCCTGTTTTCTAGAAGAACCCCCTCCGAAGAAACACGAGGAAGACGAGATGACATTCAGTGGATTGAAGAGAAGTAAAATACCATCTCGAATGTTCCAGAACCTTCAGCGGATGACCGACACTGCCGACGAACGTGCAACAGCGACCGCTAATGGTCTGTGTTTCTAAATAAAAATTATAATGGCAAAAAAACAAAAAACAAGTGATTTTTTATATAAATGTTAAGAGTTTTTTTTGTTCGGTTTTTATTAAATATTGAATAACGAAAAGCTCTCGTAATTATTTGTTCAGACATACTGATGGTGTGAACGTGCTTTGTAGTCACTATGAGAAATACCTATACACTGGATAGGTGAAGTGAAAAAAAGAGTGTCATTGGTCACTATTCGGTTCCTCGCATTATATAGCCACACAATAGCAGGAATAATGAATTGTTAGATTGAACTGGACCGCTCTTGAACTTAGACGTCGAGATTTAACAATTTTCGGAATACTAAGTTCATTTGTTTTTGGTTATTAGATAAAATTGTATTTTCATCTGTTGTAGTATACCACGACAATCCCGAACACTTCGAAAAAACAGCTATCGAACCTCGATACAAGGGAGGAAACGTATCACAGCACTCCCTTAAAGTGTTACAAGAGATAACAGGGACCAGCGAAGGAGGAGGAAGTAAGTGACCTATATGAACGAACCATATAAACTTTTCACATTCCTATAGTTAGTTTGGAAGAGTAGAATGTAGAAACAACTAAAAATGTAGTCAACACCATGGGTAGTTAGAGAAACAATACTGTACTTGTCGATTTAAAAATAATTGGTACTTTACACATGATTTATGTCTCATTCTACTGACAGACTAAGTTTTCTTGAATGTAAATATTCATTGAACGTATGTTTAAATAAATGTATTTTTTTATTTTGTTTATACGATAGTAAAAACGATTATCAATAAAATCCTGATCTATATTGAAACGAGAGGACGGATAAGTTTGTGAATATAAAGATACTATATCAACTCCAGTGTTAACGTGAGAGTGTACCATGTAGGGACTTAATAGAATAAAGATACAGTATTAACGTGAGACTGTAGCATGTAGGGACTTAATAGAATAAAGATACTATATCAACTACAGTATTGACGTGAGAGTGTACCATGTAGGGACTTAATAGAATAAAGATACAATATTGACGTGAGACTGTAGCATGTAGGGATTTAATAGAATAAAAATACTGTATTGACGTGAGACTGTAGCATGTAGGGATTTAATAGAATAAAGGTACTGTATTGACATTAGACTGTAGCATGTATGGACTTAATAGAATAAAGATACTGTACTGACGTGAGACTATAGCATGTAGGGACTTAATAGAATAAAGATACTGTACTGACGTGAGACTATAGCATGTAGGGACTTAATAGAATAAAGATACTA